CAGGCAGGGAAGATGAGAGGCTCAAACATGACAAGGGAGGGAAAGAAGTAGAGGGATGCTGGGTGACAGAATTGTTCTTAGGAAAAAAGTTACACTTGAGTTCTGCTTCTGGCTCTTATGACAATTTCACTCTGCCTCGGAATTTTCATTTCTAATGGGGCTCAGTGATGAGCCTTATCTAGGGCTCCAGGAATATTATGCACAATAACGAGGAATGGATTGGAAAATCTTCAGATGGCTTCATGTGGCCATTTATGAAAGGTGCCCTAATCGATCTATTCAGTTTAGTTCTGATCATAATGGAAAATGACGGTGGCCACAAGTCACTTTTCCTGCATTCTTAGTCTGCAGTTCCACTTATTCACTTGACAGTTGACAGTGACTGAGCTGCTACTTTCTACTAGAATTACTGATTATAAAGGAAAATAAGTCATATTTTCTGACTGCAAGTTGTTCACAAGCCATGGGAAAGACAGACACTTAAAAATAACATTGTGCTGGCCAGGCGTGGTGACTCACACCTGTAATCCCAGAATTTTGAGAGGCTGAGACAAGAGGATCACTTGAGTCCAGGAGCTCAAGCCCAACCTGGGCAACACAGCAATAGCCCATCTCTATAATAAATAAAAAATTGGCCAGGCATGGTTACACATGCCTGTAAGTCCCAGCTCTTCAGGAGGTTGAGTTGGGAGGATTGCTTAAGCCCAGGAGTTTGAGGCTGCAGTGAACTATGATCAAACCACTGAACTCCAGATCCTGGGCACTGGGCAACAGAGCCAGACCTTGTCTCTAAACAAACAAACAAATAAACAAATGACAACAATAACAATGTGCTGAGAAGTGCTATGATAAAGATACTATTACAGGATATGGAGGGACATGAAAGGGTGTCCTCCCCAGCCATTTCCCACATTTGTATGCCCCCATTCATTTGCACAATTGGTTTATTTCACTTGAAAAGCCCCCATCCCAACCTTGACCCCAAAACCACAATCCTTGAAGTCCTGATAATTTTTCAAATTCTAGGTCAAATGCCACTTTTCCAACAAAGTAGTTCCTAATCTTAGAAGTCAAAATTAATTTTTCCATTCTATGTGCTTATGTAGCACGTTGTATCTCTGTTTTAACACTTATAATCCAATAAGTTCTTTAAAAAAAACTATATATGACAGAAAAAAAATATATGTGTATATATATATGTATATATATACACACACATTGATATACTCACACACACTAATATATATACATAAATGTCTCTATCACTAGATCGTAAGCATCTTTGGAAGTAGTGTTGATGCCTGATTCATCTTTGGGTTTCCCATAGGCCAGAGTATGGAGGTGTCTTAAAATGCACTTAAGGTCTGATGAGATAAAAGTTCATTTAGATCAACTAACCTCCAGGTGCTTTTAGGATGCTAAAGTGAGTGGACCCTGCTTCATTCTAACAGTGTGAATCCTTGTTTTCACAAGCCAAAAATATTTTTTTTGTTTTGACGAGGTATACAAGAAATGGCCTTTAAAGCTAAAATCATCCAATTGTTCTTTTAATCTCTTTCTACATTTAGACAAAGAACAGACAACAAAACAAAACAATAGCCTCAAATTAACCAAATAATTTTCAGTCTGGAAAAGACTCTATATTTAATTTAACACAACATCCTAATTACAAATGAAGAAACCAGGTCCTGAGAAATGCAGATACTTCTTCAATATTATACAGTAAGATTCAACAATAAATTTTAAGATTCTTAAATTCAAGGCTTTTCCCAACAGACTAAATAGTTTACCTTTAACAAAAAAGGAAAGAATATGGAAAAAAAGGGAATCACACTAAAATATGCAGAGAAAAGAAATCATTGAAAAGCAGTATACACTATAGAAAAGTATTTTCCGATTAGCCCATTTGTCCAGAGAGGCGATTATGCTTTCACTAGCATCAATGAAAATACTAGCAGAGTTTAAAGCTTTAATTTAAAAAACTGACTTGTGTCATTTTCAAATTCTTTACCCTTCAGATACCAAATGATTCTATACAGTTAGCAATAAGAATTATCTGGAGGTTCTTTTCCAAGATACCTTGATATATTTGGTGACAGTGGTCAATAACAGGTGCTCTTAACAGTTGGGGAAGTAAAATAATCCATCAAAGCTCTGTTGAGAGGCGCACATTCACACATGTTCTCTCCTATCATGACTTAGGCAAATGCAGCAGGTGCACTCAAATATGGCATAGTTTATCCTATCTCAGTTCTGCTATTATTGCCAGATGCCCTGTCTTTTCTCTGCCCTTTCCTATGTCCCCACTGCTCCAACCCCATCCTGACAGATCTGACCCAGTCTTATAGACACCCCAGATTGGGCATGTAAAACACGCACACATCCCACACAACAGGTTGAAGCACTAAATTTGAATTTAAAACTTACTGGGTTCCAATTCTATATATATTCATACACACATATATTTTACTCAGATATGTAATATGTATACATATCTATCTAATTCTTCAAAGTGATATATAACTACTCATAAATACCATCTAGTTTTAACAAGTCTTCCTTCACTGCAAATGATGCACTATGAAAGCTGCCCCCCGGGGTGGGGGTGGGGGGACAGGGACAGTGCATGGGTTTTGTAGTTATACAGGGGCTTGAATACTAGTTCTGTCCCTTACTATCTGTATAATCTTGAGAAAATTACTTGACCTCTCTGAATAATAATTTCCTTAATTCTAAAACAAGGATGTTAATACCTACTTCATGGAGGTGTTAAGGATTTGAGGTATTATATGTCAACAGGCGCTGCATGGCAGTGCTTAGCAAGTAATAGCTATTATGGTGATAGTAAGGGGAGAGAGGAAAAGAGGAAGGGGAAGGAAGATGGCCCCTCTTCCTGAATGCCTTCTATATTTCAGGATTCTCGGCAAGATTTGGCAGAACTTGACTGCCAGCCTTTATCTGGGGAGTATTAAGCTTGAGATAGAGGAAAGACAACTAGCAGGGGGAAGTTCATGAATAGTTAGCACTTCATATGTGATTCTCCTGTCCCGAGTTTACATATACATATATGTAATGTCCCTTCCACTGCTGGGAAAAGGGCATTTCACAGTAGTGAATTCAGTATCTTTTGAGGAGTCAAGGCCGTTTTTTTTTTTCATAGCAGGACTGGACTTCACAAAGCAGGATCAACAAATTCCTATGCCCGCCCCCCAATGGTGGTTAATCATAGAATTTCCAGTTACAGCAACAGGCCCCGGCTATTTGCTCCCCTCCCTTTCCCTCAACCCCTGGCAATCCTAGTAACTGTGAGATACCCTATAGATCATGGAACAAATGCCTAGCTCCTTTCTAGAGTCATGGAGTTAGAATACACAGCCAAGTCACTAGCAGAGCTGCTGCTATGCTTTGAGTCATCCAAAGTACAACAAGGAAGGAGGATGCCCCGATCTACCCTGGACATGCCCTGAATGACATAGCTATTTAGGGCCTGCCTAAGATGCCATTCTGTTTGCAAACATACATTACCTGCTGTATATCGCAACAAAATAATTCCATCGGAAAGCCTGAAGGCAAATGACTAATGTTAAAAGTGGCCCATGCACATTTCAGTAATGGCTCCACAGGCGTCAATTAAACATGGAAAAGACCTGTTCTGAAGCATGCCCATCTGGCATTTCCCAAGGAGCTGTAGTCAGTAGCTGATAAAACATAAGTGATTATAACTATAAAGAAATTTAGCAGCCCTCTCCTTGCTCAAAAGCAATCAGGGCCCAAGAGGAATGGGCCTGGAAGACCTCCAAAAGACGAGATAAGCTAAACAAACAAACAAACAAAAAACAACAACACTGCATTTGAAGCCAGCAGAGATCTCCCTCATGCATAGAAAGCAAAGATGTGGAGTTGCATGAGGTCATCTTTTCTGTTACCAAAAAAGGAAAACAACCACTACAACAAAACCCAGATGGGTCCAGGGAATGCTTTGGGAGTTTGTCTGGAAGTCTAAGGGTGAATTTCAATTGTTATGTCTTCAAGTGAGAAAAGAATTGGCAGTAGTCCATCTCCTGTTCCTACGAGTGCTTTCCAAGTATCAGCATCATAGGATTTGCTTGGCACACTAGGCCAAGTTCACTGTCCAAATATCCTTCCTTAGAAACCATGTTTTAACCATCTTATGAGTGGAAGCAAGAGGATATGTTTAACAAATGATGTCAAGGTATAAAATTTCCAGTTAGAGGCTGAAGTAGAAGTGCTTTTCAAGGCTGTGGTTCTAGATTAGTCAGGCAGACACCTGTGTGTGTGTGTGTGTGTGTGTGTGTGTGTGTGTGTGTGTGTGTGTGTGTACACACACACTCACAAAGCTTCAACCACCACCACCTCATCACACCTAACGACTGCCTGTGATGAGAGCTTACATTCTCTATTTCTCGCTTGTCCAACAACAAAAATATGTGTTTTTACACTCAGTTCTGACTGTGAACCTATTCTCAAATTCTTACCCATTTTTGGTATCTTTTTTCCAATATATAGGGTCAGATAAATGAGAAAGAAAATATTTTTCAGTTAGAATTTCGATCTAGATCTAAAATTGTTAATGACTTTTTTCAGGACTCTTGATCTCTCCTTTTTTCTCTAAGTGATTGAAATGACTCAAAGTGCACCCCCTCTTAAAAGTGTACCCCTTTTATTTTCGTGCATGCCTCACATAGCCTGACCCCAACATTAAGAAGGACATTATTCTTAGAATGAGGCTATCAAATACAAACAATCCAAACAAACCAAAAAACCACAAGCGAAAACAACGATGCTTCCATTCTCATGAGTCCTTTTGCCAACGATGCAGTGCACTTAAATCTCTTTCAGGCAGCAGCTTCAGTGTTAAGTTTTGGAAATAAAAAAGGGGTCACTGACAATTTCTCAGCATAATAGAAAAGCAACCCAACCCCTTAACAACACTAAAATGGCAGAATTAAACACAGTGGGAACAAGTAGGAATTGAATACCTGGGATTGCCAAATTGGAAAGGGGGAGGTTGTGGAGGTGAGGGGGGAGCGAGGCCATCCAGTCGGCATTGCAGACCTCCGATGATGTCTTTGTCCCGCTGAGGTTGGGGGAGCAGATGGTCCCCATCCTGAGTTTCCTCCTTGCCTTCCTAATTGCTAGCATCCCTCTCGCCAACAAATGGGCCAGTCTCAGCCCAGTGCCACTCACTCAGAGATCATCACTTCTCGGCTCTGTAGACGTTTCGGGGCCACCTTGGCCAGGCCAGTCTTTCCAAAATTTCTGGTCGGGAGACGGGGGCAAATAGGTGCTTCCCTACTCCCCAGCAACCGCAGTCTCCACCCTCTCCGGCCCGGCCTCTGCTCCACTCCCTTAATCTGCTCAGTCCCTGCTCCGTTAAACTTCTTACGTTCCCCCCCGGAGCTGGGGGAAGGTAGGCCCCTAGAGATAAATCTTACAGAAACTGAACGTCCAAGGATCAGCCACGCCCGGAGCCACTCACACGACAGGTGCCCACACAGCACAGAGACATGCCTGCGGGTCTGCACACATGTGCGCGCCCGGGCGCGCCCGCTCCAGCCTGGTCTGTGCTCCTGGATATATATCACTGGGCTGGTGCCTCGGCTGGGCCTGCCCGCTACTCTCCCGGCTTCTCTGCACTGACGCCCCCCGCCCTGTGGCTTCCCGAAAGGCACTCAGAAGTGTCACCGGCGGCACCCGGACTCCCGGCGGCCCCGCCCCGCACTGCCGGGCAGATTTGCCGGGCGAGGCGGCCCGTGATTGGCCGCTGGCGGAGCGCGCTCCGATTGGCCGGCGCCCTCCGGGCTGCCCCTCTGTCCCGCTCCCACGCCTCCCCTGCTCCCCAGCCTCCGCCCCCCGTTACTCCCCGCCTTCCTGTTGTAGACCGACGCAGCTGCGGCCGCGGCAATCGTGGAAACTTGCGGGCTTCGGCCAAGTCGGGCCTCTCATAGGTCTTCTTTCCTCTGGACTCTCACAGACTCAGAAGTTCAACGCGACCACTAATGCTTCTTTCCTCCCCCCACCACTCGGTAACAATTACACAGAAAGGTTGACATAAACCACAGGAGCAGCAGGAATATGAGAGGCGAACGGGCCGAGAAAGGTGCTGTATCTTATATTTGGATGACAACATCAAGGATGGTTTGTGTTTCAAGCATGACATCATTAAGATTCACCTTGACACCCCTATGCAGCAATTCCGTGCTATTATTCCCATTTTACAGAGGAGGCAATGATGATACCTTACATTTGTATTGCCCTGACGTGTGACACCCTCTTATAAGCTCTATTTGTCCTATTTGCTTTTCATAATACCCCCCGCCCCCCAGGGCAGGGGGGTTTGCTGATATGATTCTCTTTCGTAAACGAGATGGTAGCCAAGGCGCTGAATGCAGTAGCTTCATTGGAAATCCTATTTTGGAATGAGCCTCTCTAGCTGGAGTCTCATAAGCACACAGGCCCGTTTACCTGCATTCTGCACTATTCCCTACTTCTTCAAGTGGTACTTTTCCATGATGGAAAACTATGGGGTCTCTGCTGATTTTGAGGACTTTGCACATTGAAAATCACAGGGACATCTTGGCAAACAGGCAAATCAAGAAGAGATCCCTGGTCTTGACTGTGGGGCTGTCACCGGTTTTAGGCCAGACAGATCCTCAGTGACTCAGGATATTCCTATGGAAAAAGAGAGCAGTAGCCTTAGAGAAGACTGAAGGCTCATACACAGATTTGTAGGTCAGCTGACATTTAATAACCAGATGACCCTATCTCATCTCCTGTGCCCAACTCACCTTTCTATACACATAACTCCTGTTGCATATTGGCTTCTTTTGACATCTTATTAACATTTCCTCTTTCAGGCTATTCTTAATATCCATTTAAACCTGTTTTGCAGCATAATATTACCAAACAATCTTGTTTTGATCTGCCAATTGTCTGTTAAGTAAAAGAAAGTGTATAATATTTATCATATATCTTCTGATGCTTAAAGAGCACTTCAGTATGGTACCCTTTTTTCCTTTTTTCGAGTCAATACATAAAGTTCTTTCCCCCCCTATTCCCTTAGGAAAATCCCTCTGGGAAAGAGTACCTTAAGATTTACGTTTAAAGTGTCACCTTTTTGGGCTTCAACTTTTAAATATGTATATTTCAAAATTTTCAAACATAAAACTTTATGAAAGCTCTCTAAGGCAAACAAAAGGTACTCTTTAAATGCTACAGTGAAATGTTAATTTAATACCTTTTCTCCCTTATTTTTCAGCAGTTAATGAAATGAGTGAGCATGTTAAAAAAGCATCAAGACCAGACATAGTGGCTCACACCTGTAAACCCAGAGCATTGTAGACCAAGGTGAGAGGATTGCTTTGAGTCCGGGAGTTCAATCCCAGCCTGGGTAACATAGTGAGAATCCATCTCTATTAAAAAAAAAAAAAAAACAACTTTGGATGTGGTGGCGTGTTCTTGTAGTCCCAGCTACTCAAGAGGATGGGAGGATTGCTTGAGCCCAGAAATTCAAGGCTGCAGTGAACTATGATTGCTATGATCATGCCCCTGCACTCCAGCCTGGGTGACAGAACAAGACCCTGTTTCTTAAATAAATAAATAAATAAATAAAGCATCAAACTTTAGAGACTTGGTGACATTACTGAGTGAGAAGTTGAAAGCAAGAAGAGATGTTTTGCACCTCTATGAAATGGACAGCTTTTCAAAAGAAACCATCAAGAGAGTGAGAGACAGCCCACAGAATGGAAAAAAATATTTGCCAACTGTATATATGACAAAGGCTTAACATCCAGGATCTACAAGGAACTCGAACATACCGAAAGGGAAAAAAAAAAAACCAAAAAAAACAAACAAAAAAAAAACCCCAAAAAGCCCTATTTAAAAAATGGGCAAAATACACGAATAGACACTTCTCAGAGAAAGACATATAAACATCCAACAGACACATGAAAAAATTCTCAGCCTCACTAATCATCAAATAAATGCAAGTTAAAACTACACTGAGATACCACCTAACTCTAGTCAGGATGGCCATCATCAATAACTTAAAAAAAAGTCAAACCAGGTGCTGGAGAGGATGGGGGAAGGGAAAGGAATGCTTCTACACTGTTGGTGGGAGTATAAACTAGTACAACCTCTGTGGAAAACAGTGTGACGATTCCTAAGAGATCCAAAAATCAACCTTCCATACAACCCAGCAATTCCCTTTCTGGTAATATAACCAGAGGAACTCAAGTCATTCTATAAAAAAGGTATCTGCACAGGAATGTTTATTGCAGTATTATTCAAAATAACAAAAACATGGAACCAACTGTGCTGCCCATTGAAAGTGAACTGGATTAAAAAAAAGAGTTTACAGATACATGATGGAATATTATGTAGCTATAAAGAAGGACAAAACTGACCTCCCACTCAGTGGCTCCTACGAGGCTAGCGGGTCCTCAGTGGATCCAGGCTTGGTGCCACAATGCTCACGGGAAGTCACCGAAAGCAACCTGGGAGTAAAGGAATGGGGCTGACGTCAGGAGCTGAGATGGCGGTGGTAGTCTGACTCTCCTTGAGCTAGTTTCAGCCACAACCCTTGGCGGAGCCTGCCTGCAGGCCTGCCAAGGGGGCCAAACAGATGCAGCCATAGCTCTTCGAATCAAGAAGTTTGCCATCTACGACCCCGACAAGGCTGCAGGTAAACCTCGTCTGCAAACTTATGAAATTGGTTTGAATAAATGTGGTCCCATGGTACTGGATGCTTTAATCCAGATTAAGAATGAAATTGATTCCACCCTGACCTTCCGAAGATCGGAGAGAAAAGCTATCTGCGGCTCTTGTGCGATGAACATCAACAGAGGCAGCACCCTGGCCTGCCCCCGAAGGATTGATGTCAACCTCAACAAAGCCTTACAAATCTACCCTCTGCCACATAGGTACATGATAAATGATCTTGTGCCCGATTTGAGCAACGTCTATGTCCAGTACAAGTCCAAGTGCATCGAGCCTTACCTGACAAGAAGGCTGAGTCCCATCAAGGCAAGCAGCAGTATCTGCAGTCCATAGAAGACGGTGAGAAACTGGATGGACTCTATGAGTGCATCCTCCGCACCTGCTGTAGTGCCAGCAGCCTCAGCTACTGGTGGGTCCGCGGTTCGGATGCAGTCCTATCGCTGGATGATGGACACCAGGGAGGACTTCACTGAGGAGTCAGCTGGCCAAGCTGCAGAACCCGTTCTCTCTGTACCACTGTCACACCATCATGAACTGCTCTAGGACCTGTCCCAAAGGTCTGAATCCAGGGAAAGCTATTGCTGAGATCAAGAAAATGATGACCATCTATAAGGAGAAGAGAGCTTCTGCTTAACAGATCCATGCTACATGTGACTTGTGACCAGCTCATAGCTGAAAATAATTTCTAATTTGAGCTCCTTCTAAGGTCATGATTTTTCATGAATACAGCATGTATAATAAAAATGTTAAGAAATAAATAAATGAGCCGGGCTCGGTGGCTCAGCCTGTAATCCCATGCTTTGGGAGGCCGAGGTGAGTGGATTGCCTGAGCCTGTGGGTTCGAGACCCACCTGGGCAACTTGGCAAGACCTCATCTCTACAATAAATCAAAAAATTAGCTGGGTGTGGTAGCGCACGCCTGTATGTAGCTCCAGCTACTTGGAAGGCTGAGGCGGAGGGATCGCTGGCACCCAGCAGGTCGAGGCTGCGGTGGCTGGGAGCATGTCACTGCCCTCCAGCCTGGGCAACAGAGTGAGACTCCAACTCAAGAAAAAAAAAATAATAAAATAAATGTTACTCTATTAACAACAACAAAAAATGATAGTAAAGAAGGAAAAAATTATGAACTTTGCACCAACTTGGATGGATTTGAGTCTATCAGACTCAGTGATCTATCACAGAAGCAAAGAACTGAGTACTACATGTTCTCACATATAGGTGGACCCTGAACTTTTGTCATAACACTATAAGAAAGGGTTTGGCAGTAATGGGATGCTGCCAGGGGAGGGAAGGGGGTAGTACATAACATCAGTAAGGGTACCTGATCTCAAACCAGGTGAAGTGAGGAACCAAAGGGAGACCCAGACTTTACCTGTATGATGCTTTGGTCATAAACAGCCTTTACCAGGTTTAAAATAACAATAAGTAACATATAATAGGAGGTGCCTGACACAGTGATCGAGAGACTTGGAGACACAGCTGTACCATCACTAGCTATGAGATCTCTGGCAGGGTGTAGCCTCTAAGCCTCAGTGTCCTTGGTAAAATGGGAGTAATAATGGTACCTAACTCACTTATGTACCACTTTTGTACCTAATTCTGACTTGCACCCTACACCTTTAAAAAAACAAAGAAAAGAAATTGACAGCTTCTTAATTTACAGCTACTTGATTTGCTCAATAAATCAGTTAAAAAGGAAAGCAACACTCTATATATTCCTGAGTCAGCTCTGGAAGCAATCTTGCCAATGAAGACACAGAGTCTAGTTCAGTAGTTGACATACAGGAGATGCTCAGTAAGTATTTACTGAACACAGGGAGATGTTTGATAAATGCTCTTGTTAAAAGTCATGCTCTGTTGTGCTCTAGGTAGTGTCTTAGAGCAGCACTTTTCAACTTTAATGTGTAGATAAACCATAGTCTGATTAAACAGATCTGAGAAGGGCTTGATATTCTG